GTAAATGGGCACAAAAGACCATCTTTCTAGAACAGTTGTAAGGACTAAAAGAGATAAATGACCACAGAAACTTCCCTGACCTCCATTTGCCTCACAGGGGCCCCCATTTTTCATATACTTCAAATAGCTCCATTCCGGTCATCATCAAAAAGACAAGAGACAACAAATGCGGGTGCAGATGTGGAGAAGAGGGAAGCCTCGGGCACTGCTAGGGGGGAATGCAAACTGGTGTCACCGCTGTGGAGAATAGTATGGAGCATCCTCAGAAAATTAAAAATAGAACGGCCATATGAGCCAGCAATTCCACTTCTGGGAATATGTCCAAAAAAAACAAAAACTCTAACTTGAAAAAACACACACACCCTCATGCTCATAGCAGCATTATTTACAATAGACAAGACCCAGAAACAACCTAAGTATCCAGGGACCGAGGAGTGGATAAAGAAGTTGTAGTAATACATATACAAAGTGGAGTATGAATGGACCTTGATGGCATGAGGCTAAGTAAAACAAGTCAGAGAAAGACAAATACTGTATGACCTCACTTAAATGTGGAATCTAAAACAACAACAACAACAAAGCAAACAAAAAACTCATAGAAAAAGAGATCAGAGGCCAAAAGTGGGGGTGGGAAAATCAGAGGAAGGTGGTCAAAAAGTGACAGCTCCCGGTTATAAGACACAAAAGCACTAGGATGTAAAGTACAGCATGATGCCTAGAGCTAACACCACAGGAAAGGTGTTAAGAGAGTCAATCTTGAGGGTTCTCACCACAAGGAGAAATGCTTTTTTTATTCTTTTTGCTTTTGTTCTTTATTGGGTCTATACTCGGTGATGGATGCCAAGCAAACAGCGGTAGAAATCACCTCACAATATACGTTCAGACCATTCTTCCGTACATCTTGAACCTATACGGTGAGTAGGTCAATTATATCACCATAACACTGGGAAAAAAAATAGCTCCATTGCAGTAAATTCCAATTGTTGGTTTATGTGCCTCTTCTTCCAGGGTTTCTCGGCCTTGGCACTGCTGACATTTGACTGAATTAATTCTTTGCTGTGTCGGGGCTGTCCTGTGCATTCAGGCCATTTAGCGGCATCCCTGGTCTCTCCTCACCACATTCTACTAGAACCCCCTCAAGTCACGACAACCAAAAATGTCTCCAGATGTTGTCAGATGCCCCATGATGGGGGTGAACCCCCTCCCCAATAAGAACCACTGCTTGAACCAGGGGACATGTGGAACTGTGGAATCACTACATTGTACGCCTGAAACTGATATAACACTATGTTAACTAACTGGAATTAAAACAAAAACTTAAGGAAAAAAAAAAAAGAACCACTGCCTGAAACTCTGAGTTCTTAGAACAATACTACAAGCCCCAGCAGCAGGGGAAACGATCTTTTTTTGAGCACTCGCCATGTGCCAAACATCGTTAAAAGCCCTTCTCATGAATTATAGACTTTAATCCTCTCAACACCACCAAGGGTGAGGGATTTTAGGCACATTTTATTGATAATGAAACTGGATCACAGAGAGGTTAGTAACTTGCTCACGGTGTATTTTATGCTCCTCTTTTCTAACCCCAGCACTTAGCATGTGACCTGATACAACAGGAACTCAATAGCAACTTAGAGAACATATGGATGAATTCATTGAGACAGTTCCCTCCATAACAGCAATCTGGTCAGGGACGGTGACCCAACGGTCTCCTCTGGAGTCCCACAGCACCCCATAACAGTGGTTTCATTCTTTTGAAAACCCTTCCCCCAGCTATGGCTCTTTTAAGCTATCCAGGCCTTTCATGGGAGTGAAGCGGTTCTGGGTACTCTGTTTTTATTATTAATAACATGAATTACACCTTCCAGCTTACTTTATGAGGGGTTCACTCAATCCAGCCAAGGGTCCTGACATTACCAGATAAATACCATTGATATCATTTTTTACCTGTCAGTCACTCCTTTCAGACTTGGGTGAAGTACAATAATACTATGTTTGTCCAGCTTGGAACATACCACACTGAAAACCCTTCCAAAAAGTTGTATGAGCACTATATCCAATGCTGCTCAGACACATGAAGTGAGAGAATGCTTCCTCTAATCCATAGTGTGGACCTTTTCATGCTATGAAGGAATCAGTGAACTGAAAGGCAAACCATGATCAATTTGTTCTTGATTAACACAGATTCAACATTTAAATCTGCTTAACCTGTGTGTTGTGAAAAACTCTGTAGATAAACACAAGTATAAAGCCTTACATCACAGTGGCTGGAGATCTTAAAGTATCCCAAGCCCAAGGCTCACACTCAGTGGGTGCAGGGAGAAGACACAGAGAGATGCTTTCTGTTAAGAAACAGGGAACTCCAGTGTTTCTTGACTCCGTTAAAATTCTGGAAACTGTTAAACACAAAGCAAATGTTTAAGAGAGAGCTGAGTTTATGCAAAGCAAGACCTACCTAAAGACCTTGTAGACTCATTGGTTGGAGGAAGGGCAAGGTCAGACAGACCACACTTTGAACCCCAGGCTGGCCACTTTGGGGGTTGGGAAGTTACTCTACCTATTTTAGAATCGGCTTCCTCACCTATAAAATGGGTGTAATAGTGCCAACTTAGAGGGTTGTTGGAATGAATAAATGAGATAATGAGTGTAAGGCATCTGGCTTATAAAAGGTGTCTAATACAGGGTAGCTTTTAATTGTTACAAAAATGACCTTAAGGATGTGTATGTGTGTCATACACACACACACACACACACACACACACACACACACACACACACACACATTTCCCAGAGAAATTTTTGAGGCTAAAGTAGGGGACAGGTTTTAATGGCAGCACCAGAATTAGAATCTCTACACGCCCCCATCCTGTCCATTCTGGCCTCTGAGCTCTTTCATGAAGAAGAGAGCCAAAGAATGGGCAATACATAAATAAATAAACCAGTGCATGAATAATTTCAGATATCTCATGGTATCACCAATGTTACAAATTTAGTTTGATATCTCAATCCAAAAGGATTTCTCGGGTGCCTGGGTGGCTCAGATGGTTAAGCGTCTGCCTTCGGCTCAGGTCATGATCCCAGGGTCCTGGGATCGAGTCCCGCATCGGGCTCCCTGCCCCTTGGGAGCCTGCTTCTCCCTCTGCTTCTCTCTCTCTATCTCCCTCTCTCTCTCCCTCTGTCTCTCATGAATAAATAAATAAAATCTTAAAAAAAAAAAAGGATTTCTCTATTGGGCAATAATTAGATGCAAAGCAATGCATAGGCTACACGTGGATGCAAAGATAATATGACATAATCTTTTTCCTCAAGACCTCACTGTCTAAGGAAGGCAAATGCAAGCATGACTCTAGATTCAATTCGGACCACTTTTTAGGTTGTTATATATATTGCAACTAAATAGAAAGGATCTCACCACATATCACAATAACATGTATAATTCCGTTCTTACTTAAAATTACTCCAGAATTGTTTCCCCCATTTTCTTTGACATTCTAGGCCTTAAATCTGGCACAGATTGGTACAACACTCCCATCATCACAAATTTGATAGCATTTTCTCATAAAGTGAGGGGAAAAAAGACAAAGCTATCGAAGAAAGAATAATATGAAATACTGCCCTTAGATTTTTGCATTTTAAAGTTTTCTTTCTTAACAAAAATTATAGGATCATAGATATGAAATCATATTTATTTCCGGGGGGTGGGGAGAATGTGTATTTCTATTTATTTATAAAAGTCAAGTCAGATTATCAAAATTTCTTTAAAGGAATACAATTGCTATGAATGTTCCAGATCATAAGGAGCCCCATAATTCTCCTAGCCTATCAATGTAGTTTGAAATAAATATACAAATAGCCAGGTCAGTCTTGCAAATCCTGCAATATCCTGGATTGCAGTAGCCCTTAGAATTTAATGCAGATAACCCCACAGCAGAAGGAGTCACGGGAGCCATCATTTTCATCCCTCTGCCTTGCAAACTTTAGAACCCCTGGAAAGATATGACTCTCCCTTGCCTCCATAAATGTCACCGCCTTTCACCCAGGACCTACACTTCCTGGTTCAGGAGCATGTGTAGGATAGGAACTCAAACCTCAGTCTCTGAGGCAGCCATCCTCCATCTCCTGCACGATGAAGCCCCCCAACTGGGCTCCCAACCACTGCCCTTCCTCCCTCTGGGACATGGCTCCCTGCCCTTCCCAGGCTTCTGGAGCCTCCTGTTTCATTTGCTCCCACCACACCACCTGAGATGACTCTGTCTCCCATGGCCCTCCCAGCTACCCCCACCCCTGCTTTCATTGCCCTGCTTCTCTAGGTGGTAGCCCAAAGTTCTCTGTCTCCATCTTTTTATGGATATTTTTTTCTTAATATCCAAGGTATGCAAGGACCTTAGCACAGTGCCTGATGCAATAAGTGTTCAAAAACAGCAATCCTGATTATTACTACTACGACTATCCTTATTATTTCATCCCCATAAATCCACCAAAACTGCCCTGTCAAGTCGCCAACAGCCTCCCATCCCCCCTCTGGTGATCTTTACTCCATTCTCATTGACCTGGGACAGGTTAACACATCCCTGCTTATTTAAAATTCCTTCTTTGGCTTCTAAGGGCACCCTCTTGGCCCAGCGTCTCACACAGACTTCAGAATCAGGAACTTGATCAGCACAAAGAGATGGACTCGAATTTGAAGATCCAAAGCCCTTTCGCCTACTTCTGCCTCCAGCCACCTCATCCAAAAGCAGGTGATGCGAAACCCTGCCTGCTCCTAACGTCGCGGCATCAAGGCTGTGGCACGCGTGGCCCCCCCTTCCCGCACATCATCACATGCCTCACTCTCTGGCTCCTTTGAGGTCCCAGCTCAGATGCCACCTCCCCAGAGAGGCCCTCCCTGACCATCAGGAGCATCTCAACCAAAGGCAAAAACTCAGTGAGCCCGAAGAACAAAACCCAAGCTGCCCCTTCTGCCCGCAGGCTGCTCTGCAGCTGACTCGCTCCCCGCTCACCTGGATCAGCGTCTCCAGCTCCTGTGGGCTCACGCAGATATGATCCCGCAGGAACTCCGCCTTCTCCAAGGCAATGGTATTCTTCTGGCTGCTCTCGAAGGGCTGCTCCAATGCTCGAAAGACCAGACCGCCGGTGACGAGGTAGACCACCACGACCACAAAGATTGCGACGACTGTTTTCCACTTCATGACGGTCTGCAAGCCCCCCTGGGAGGCGCCTTCCATCCTGGCTACCACCGTGGCTCGGGAGGAGATGGAGAGGCGTGGGGCGGCGTAGTGCCCGTTAGTGGCCCCCTTGGGCTGGCACACAGGGGGCGCTGCTGCCGGAACGGCCACTGAGAAACAGGGCGGGGGACAGGGGGAGAGAGAGTTTGTTGATAAATACAAGGCACGGAACTCGTCAGAAACAAAGCACAGATGTCTTTCTCAAGCCAGCTTTCAAACGGGAGCATGAAAACCTGGCTCACCAAGCCGGGCGGTAAGAGGATCTGATCAGTTTCGAGGTGCCTGCTTGAGTTCTTAGAAAAGGAGCACCAGGAGTCCTGGTGTTTCAAAAAAAAGTAGTAGTAACTGAGTTTAAAATTCTTATATTTCTCTACAAGGGTCCAGTTTTGAAAGTCAGGTCGCCGTAATTTAGAATTCATTTCTTCTCTCAAGCTTCCTTGGTTAAACAATGTCTAGGATGCAGGACAAACCTTCATATTTGAAAAACAGACGTGTTGGGCAACTCGGAGAGGGAATAAATAGGAGATTGATGCCCAGCTACTCTGTCCACATACTGAGGACTGGAGGATACCAAGAGCAGAGAGGACATGAACGTCTAATGAGTTTCAAAGTCCCTTCCATCCCGGGTCGTGGTCACAAAACAAAGGGAAGAACAAGGCAAGCTTGCTATCAGGCAGACAAGTCAAAACTCAGACATAGTAAAAAAAAAAAAAAAAAAAGTTGGGGTTTCAGAAGACAACCAAAGTGAAAAACAAAAGAACGGGTGACTGGACTAAGGGAAGGAAACAATGAGTGATGTTTCATGCCAAGTAACTTGGTTTCCTGGAAAAACATAAGAATAATAAAATAGATTTTAAGCACATTTCTAGGTAGAAAATGCGATGACCTTAGTGACAGAATTTTTCTTCTATTTTCCTCCAGTAAGAAGCCATTGAAAAAGAAATTCCCCCTTCGTTTTGAGAACATATTGGATTCTCAAAGGTCCCTGGTCTCTAGAAGGCCAATTTCATTACCTTGGAAATAAATATGTGAAGCTGGAGGCTTTTCTAGAATGGCAGGAAGAGCAGAGTCGTGTTGCACACGGGATGCTCTCATGCACTTCAGAACGCTGTCTTGTGCAGCAAGGAACAGCAACGCATTTGATTTTGCTCTGTCTTTAGTACACTAATGTTTATTATGGCCTCTGTCATAGTGCAGCCTGGCTGCTGTGTAAATAAGGTTTTAGGAGATGGTATTAGCTAATTACCTAAGTGGAGCAAACAAGCCCACTCAAGAGACTGGACTGCACACTCCCTGCCTTGGGAAACTCAAGACAAATAGAAGCACGGGAAGGTCACTCCGTCCCTGTTCAGAGCACCAATGATGCTGACGACACCCGGACAGAAGGGTGGCCGCCTCAAGGAATCCAGGTCTGTAAACATCTGCCTTTCCTCCTGGAGCCTCTAGATCAGCTTTTCTCTTCGAAAACCAAGCGGAACGTCATCCGTTTATTGGACATGATTCTAGCAAATAAAATCATTAAATGTTAGATTTCCTCCCGACTCACTAAACGCAAAACCATCTGGAATCTCTCACTGAAAGATTTAAGAATCAGAATCAGCACCCTGGGCATCACGTTCTTGCTAATCCTTTCCCCAAAACACAACTCTCAGGTTCCTACCGGCCCTTGTTGATACTGAGGTTCGTCTTGTCTAGGACAGTTTCTTTCAACCTTGCCCCTACACTTCCCACCCCTTCACCCTCCCTGCTGTATCTCAGTCCCCAGTGCCTCTCACCCTTCCCAGGGCCACCAACCTCAAGGGCCCCTCCCAGGGGCCATCATCAAGGCTTGCCTGGACCAATCCAGCAGCCTCCTAAGTGACCTCCCTGCCTCCACTCTCACCCACCTTTGACAAGCCCGGGGTTAAATACCACTTCTGGGAGCACCTCCCCCTCTTTTCCCCTGGCTCCCTCTGTGGTTGGCGGAACCATGGCCCCCAAAGATGTTCACGTCCTAATCCCTGGGCCCTATGCCTACGTTACCTTACATCACCAAAGGCACTTTGCAAATGTGATTAAGTCACGGATCTAGAGATAGAGAATTATCCTAGATTACCAGGGTGGGTCCAACATAATCACCAATGTCCTTAAAAGAGGAAGGCAGGAACATCAGAGAAAGACACACAAAGAGAGAAGCAGAGGTCACAAATCAAGGGATGGCATCAGCTTCTAGAAGCTGAAAGGACAAGGAACAGACTCTCCCCTAGAGGCTCCAGAAGGATCCAGCCCTGCCCATACCTTAATTTTGGCCCAATGAGATAGATTTTGAACTTCTGACCTCCAGAACCACAAGATAACAAATATGCATTCTGTTAAGCTTCCAAGATTGTGACAATTTGTTACAGCAGCAATAGGAAACTCATACACCCCCACTAGATCAAGGTCTCTCTTGGCCCACATTCACTGTGCTGTGCTCTTAATAGAGCCTGTTTACTTGTCATTTGACTTAGAGCTCCAGGAGGGCAGGCCCCGAGTCTACGCTCTCACCTCTGTACCCCAGTGTCCTGGCACACAAAATGCTGATTACATGAATGGAGGAGAAAAGGAAGAGACCTTGGCACATCCAAACCACACATACCATGTGGATGAGGGGTGCTCAATGGGAAAGAGCTTGACACTCCAGCAGCACTCAGCAGCAGGTGCCCCAACACAGCAATGCTCTGTTCATGCCTCCACAGTCCATGGATGTTCCTTTGGCCAGCAGCCCCCTCCCCACCCTCACCTGCCTGGGAAACTCTCACCCACCCTCCTCAGTTTCAGCTCAAATCTGCCTCCTCTGTGAAGTTGTCCTGGACTCTCCAGGCAGACTCAGCATGCCCGTCTCCCCACGAGCCTAGAAATCCCTGGGAGTCTGAAAGCTTGTCTTTTGATTGTTGGATCTCCATTTCTTGGCACAGTGCCGGGCATAGAGCAAATGTTTGTTTTCTGTTGTTGTTGTGGTTGTTAACTCCTTCAGACTATAAACAAAGGCCCATCAGAATCACCACCACCCTCAGTAACAAGCATTTATGTAGTGGCCAAGTGAGCAGGAGGCGCTGTGCTATGGTGGGGATAAGTCAGAGTCCCTCCCAACTTTGGGGGTTTGATAACCTACTTAGGGAACATCCTCCCACAGCGTCAGGTGACAGACACTAGGAGGAAGCCCAACGATGGCCTTGAGTTCAGAGGTCAGCTGGAGCTGGGTCTCCTTCACTGACTTGCATTATGGATGTTTCCGGGGCTTCTAGCATTCCTGAGGCTGAGCAGAATTGGGCCTGACAAAGGTCTTTCTCAGACCAGTTCCTGATGCTAGTTTGCTAAGAGACTGTCCCTGGGAGCAGAGTCTGAATAGAATCTACCAATCCCAAGTTTCCAAAGCACCAGGAGCAAAGACTGGAGTTTCAGTTCCAAAGCCATCAGTGTCTGGCTGACCACTTAGTTTCTCTGTTTCCTTATCTGCAGAAAGTAGATAGTAAGGACTCCGTTGGAGGGCTGCAAGGCACATGCATGGTTATGGCCACCGCATATCCCCACTTCACAGATAAAGAAACTGAGACCCAGAGAGATTACATGGCTAAACTGAGGTCAAAGGGGCAGAAAGTAGGGGAGCCAGGATTAAAACGAGAATAATCTGACTCCAAAGTCAATTCTCTTCTCGAGCATAAGCACAGAAGAATAGGAAACAAAGAAATTCCCCTGGTGGAAAGGGCCCTTTTTCTGAAATGTATCAATAATGGATGGGGCATAGAAAGCAATGACCTATCATTCCTCACAACTCCCACAGAAGAGTATCCGGCACTAAATGCACTGCCAAGAATTGATGAGAAGGGAAAGGCGGGAAGGGCAATATCCCTTCGGTTAATTTTCATTTTAAAATGTTTCCTCACAAGCATTCGCCCATTCCACTTCTACCTAAACACAGGTAGATACGGGAGCACGTGCGGAAATCTGCTTCTTCATGGTTGAACAGGTTCGAGGTAGTTTTGAATTTTTCAGGCTTTCCTGTGCCCTGTACTTCCTGCCCGTTCTTGCACTCGGTCAACAAACACTGGAGTCAGCCGGGCACCGTGCTTGGTACTGGGGATACGGAAATGAATAGGACCCACCCCTGCCTTCAGAGTCTGTGGGAGGGTCGACAAGGATCCTACACATGCACGAACCTAGTGCATCGTCACGAAACCTGGTGTGGAGAGCACTTATTATTATCTATCCCCCTGGACAGGTGAGGCATGAAGGCCCGGGGCAGAGGCATCCTTGGACCCATCTTCAGACACCTAGCCCCAAGTGCCTCCACTCCTCCGCGCCACTTGAAACAAATGACATCCACAGGACTCAGGGTTTCTAGGAAACCTGAAAGGCAGCCCACCTCAGAGGTGCCACTGTCACATAACTACTTGACTCTGCCCATTGACCCAGGCAAAGTACAACTGATTGCAACACAATGGTGAGAAGCAGAGAACTCCTGCCTTCCCCACAGCCCTCCCAGGCCTGGAACGGGTCCAGGGCCACCTGCACCGGCAGCTCAGAGCTTCCAGAGAGCTCCAGGTGAACGCAGAGTCTGGAATCCCCAGAAAGCTTCCCCGGGTGTACGTGGACTTGAGGCAAGTGCAGGGGGTGGGTGTCGGGAAGAAGGAAGGAATGCTGAGGAACCTCACAGCAGCTGGTTTTACCGTGACCCTCCTCTAAGAAGAGCAGAGAGAATGTGCGAGCTCCCTCTGATTCCACCTACGCCCACAGCTAGACCTTGTTCTTCCCGCTTCCATCTGGTGGCTGTACCTTAAAGGTGATCAAGCTTGTCCTGGTAAGAACACAGGGACGGTCTACACACACTGAGTGAGCAAGCCATGCATGTCCCCAAAAGGCCACCACAGAAAAGGCTCTCCCTTTGGGTTCAGGGATTTCTCTCCCCTAGCCGTCTTAAAACGCCAGGCTTTGCGTCCAGACAGAAGAGACCAAGGCATCAGGAAATGTCTGGGACCCTTTAGAGACAGAGAGCCAAGACAAAAGGCAAACAGGCTGAATGGGGAGGAGGAAGGAGCTGAGAACATGCTGCCACCCTGACTCACATCTGTCCCCACCTCTCTCTTTAGGG